AGAGCCCTGCTGTTTGTAAACAGGAAGGGCGATCTAGAGACTAGATCATCAGATGCCTACAGTGGTTGCCTTGTCAACAAGGAGCTCGGGAGCGGGGAACCTAGTTCTTCTCTACCAGCTTGGAACTCCACTCTCCCCTTTCCTTTCCCTGCCCAGCTGGAACTGAGCACCTGGAGAGCTCCGTGCTTCTGACATCTACTAACAACCAAAGGAACACATTCTGTTGAGTAACAAACACAGCATATTGTTTTCTGCTCTTTAGTGTTTCATGGGAAATTCAATCAGGAACACACAAGACCTCTAGGCAGAAAACGAAAACCAAAATGAAAGGTGTCGGTCTGAATGTGAGAGAGTGTTCAGAGTTCTTAGAGAAGATGATGAGATTATAGATAAAAGTGTTGATTTTCTTCAAAATCAATTTATTTAATTAACATAATTAATTAACATAAATGCGAGTGAATTTTTTATGTTTTAGGAAGTTACCAAATCTATTCTCAAGGAATGAAAGTCTACAGGTAACTATGTCAACCCCTAAAATGACAGTAAAGGGAGAGAGGAAGGGACGGAGAGGAGGAGGGTGGAAGGAAAAAGAGGAGGAAGAGAGATGGATGGTAAAGTGATTCAAGTGCATATCATTGGGTCAAAAAAGAGCCTTCTTCAAAATACAATTTGAAAATCTGGAGCCAGAAAGGAAAGCAGAGACAAAGTTTAAAAGATGATATGACTGTATAAAGAACATAGCTCTCTAGCATGTATGAGGTCCTAGGTTCAATCCCCAGCATCAAGGAAGGACAGCATAAATAACACCAATAGGTAACAAGATGGGAAAATGTGTTTTAAATGTCTAAAACTAGTCTGGGAATTTACTTCAGTGGCTTACCAAGCACATCAAAGCCCTGGTTCAATCCCCACCACCACAAAAAAGATAAACTGTCTAAAATGAATAAGGATTAATATCTAGAGAGAAATACTTCTTAAAATTTTTTATTTTATTTTATTAATTACCGTTTATTCACTTTGTATCCTACCTGTAGCCCCCTGCCTCTTCCCTCCTCCCCTTCCAATCCCACTCTCCTTCCCTCTTCTTCTCCTATGCCCATCCCCCAGTCCAATGATAGGGGAGATCCTCCTCCCCTTCCAGAGAGAAATAATTTTACAAATACACGAGGAAAGATGGCAACTGTCACAGAAAAATGGGCAAAGAACATGAACAGGCCTTCAAGGGAAGAGGACCCCCAAGAGGACTGGCAGGCAGTATGAGTAGACACTCAGAACTCTGCTCAGCAGAGAAAAGCATGTATCAAGGTGTGGGCTGGAGCCAAGTGGTCGAGTGTCTGCCTTGCATACCCAAGGCTCTGGGTTCAATTTCTAAATAGGAGGGAGGTCAGGAGTGGCATGATATGGCAGAGGATATTAATACCATGAAAGGAAGGCAACACCAACCCAGACCACTAATCCATTGCCAGCCTGGAAGCCAGTAAACAGTAAAACAAAATGAAGCAGTCCTGAAACAGTGCCCACTATTTTTCACACCATCATTATCTTGCTACATGAAGGGGTATTCCACAACTAACACAAGCAGATCTCCTCGGTCTGTGAATAACATGAGGAAAATGTTGCAGCAGAGTCTGTACTCTTCACATGGGACTCTTTGCACTGTTCTTTGTTCAAGAAAAGTAGAATAAGCTTGCCTTGTGTTCAGGAATACAGCCATTGAGATTGGGTAAAACTGTGTCCTCAAAGCCTATTAGCCTCAATTTCTTCATCTACAAGTCAGTTCAAGGTTCTCAACAAACTTAATCTAATAAATCTCTATTACCTGGCATATAGTAGGTGGTTACTTAACAGCTATTGCTGTAAAATACTTTAACAGTAAGAAAATCTAGCTTACATAGAAACATACTAGAAACTAGACATTCCCCCAGCAAGCCACTCTCCATGCTGATTTAGTATTTGATGATCAATGTAGCTCAAGATATTCTCTCATCAAACACCTATATGAGGGGACTAGAGAGATGGCTCAGAGGTTAAGAGGACTGTCTGCTCTTCCAGAGGTCCTGAGTTCAATTCTCAGCAACCACATGGTGGCTCACAACCATCTATAATGAGATCTGGTGCCCCCTTCTGATGTGAAGGCATACATGCAGATATTGTAAACATAATAAATAAATAAAATAAAAACACTTATATGTGTTCCATGGCTTTTTCCTTTAATAGTTCCACCGCCCACTTATTTTAAAAATTCAATTAATGACCTACTGCAGACACCCAATACATGAAGATCTCCCTCCTTCCCCTTTTTTCTTCTTTTCACGTATTTGTGTGTGTGGTATGTTTGCATGTATGTGCATTTGCATGTGTGGGGTGTTTGCATGCACAAAGAAGCCCAATTGGGAATATTCCTGGATCTTCTACAATTCTTCGACAGTTCCCTTTGAAGTAGGGACTATTAACCAAATCCAGAGCTTTCCAACTAACCTCGCCGCCGCACTAGCCAGCTTGCTCAGGGATCCTTTGTTTCTACCTTCAAGGGCTGGAATAACTCATAGGCTGCCATGCCCACTGGCATTTCTGTGCCACAGCCTTTCTGTCTCAGCTTGTCTCCTTGTTGCTGTGATAAAATACTCTGAGATAAAAGCAACTTAAACAACAAAGTTTTATTTGGCTCATAATTCCAGGTTATACTTAGCATTATAGGAAAGTCTAGATACCATATACTTGAAATAGCTAGTAACATTACATTCACAGAGTAGAGAGCAAGGAATGAAAGCATTCATGGTACTCTCAGTTCTTTTTCTTCTTTTCATTCAGTCCAGGGCCTAGCCCACAAACTGGGGCTGCCACATTCAGAGGGGATCTCCCCAACCTCAATTAATCCAATTAAATTTTCTCCAGTCATACCCACAGGCGAACCTAACCCAGACCTTTCTTTATAGAGGCCCCTTCCTGGTGACTTTACACATTCTGACAACTGAACCTGGCTACCATGCTCCCTTGCTTTTATTGAAAGTTGCATTCTGCTCCTTAATTTGCTCCATTTGATAGATTGTTTAGCTTCTCTGTTGCATTTTAAACATTTCTGCACTTTAGAAAATACTGTTACTTCAAGAGCTAGCCACTTTTTGAAGGCTTCTGAACATATGCCTGAAATGCTTGTGGACCAGCAGGACTGACAGGCATACCTACCAATAAAATAATTTCAAATAGAATGCTTTCAACTGGTTTTTGACACTTACACACAGAAACAGGTTCGTTAGGTCAACAGGTGCAGGTGAGCATGAGGCAGAGAACTCTCCATATAGTGTCTCCATAGATCTGGGGGTCTCTTAGAGTCTTTACTAAGAAGCATTATGTCCTTGCCTGGGTCTAGGTGTGGACAGCTGTTCATTCAGCCTGCTAGGTATCCATACTTCCCATCTTGGTGGCTTCCCTAATTTCCCCTGAGAAGCATTTCTGCTCCCATTTCATACAATATTCTAGAAACCATCTATGTGTTGTTTTCCCTGGGTGAGCCTAAGTTATATTCGATGGATGGCAGCTTTCCTGGGAATCTGACTCCCTGGAGAGTGAGCAAGGAAAGCTTTGTATCCTACAAACAGTGTCCAGAAGACCCTCTTTGTTGGTGCCTGTGTCTCCAGGGCTGGTCTGTCTGCCGGTCTGTGCTCTCATTTCCACATCACTAAGTTACACTTCATCCTCCCATGCTTCTTCACTGTTACACTGTGAGGTTTGCTCCCTACCCCTGAGCCAAAGTTAGCCTCAGACACTCTGATCCATTTCAATCAGGGTGGGAAAGAGAGATACTACTTTGTTTCCTTGACTATTTATAATGTTTTCCATACTCGATTTTTGAAGAGAAAACAAAAGCAAACCTGGTTTTCCTCTCATAAAAATTTGTCAACTCTAGCCATTACAAATCCCTTAATATTTTATCTGCATCTTCTGGCAACAGATGAGGATATACAGCCCAGTTGGTGCTGTGCTTGTTCCTCATCCATGGGGTACTGGGTTCAAGCTTTAGCACTGCATAACTGGGCACCAAAGTGTACACCTGTTACCCCAGCACTCAAGAGAGAGGAATAAGGGTCAGAAGTTCATCTGCAGCCTGGGCTAAAAACTTTCTTTTGTGTCTGTTTGTTTGTTGTTTTAATCTTTTGGCAAAATGTTTCAAAGAGAAACATCTGTTTCATAATGGCTTTCACAAACACACACACACAAACAAAAGTGAAAAGGCTCACTCTCTGTTCTACTCTGCCACTCTGCTCCACTGACCTGACACTACTGCCTGCTTGGCAGGGCCACCTCTCAGCTTTCTCAAGTAGATTTTCTGGAGCAAAGCTGAGGCCAGAGTCAAGGTTTCCTTTGTCCTCTTGTGGCACCCTGAAAGGAATGTGCTTTCTGTCTTATGCACCAAGGAGATAATCAGGTTGAAGCACTTCCCAGCAGGGGTTCCTTTTAATCCCCTTGCCTTTGCAGTTACAGGTGCCCTTGGAAGAGGTTGTGAACTGGCCTGTGGAGGGAAAGTACTTTGTTCTACGGAGGCTGGGGTGGGGGGGGCACTTCCATTAAAGAACAGCATCTCCTCCCCCTGTCCACTATTTCCTCTCAAAGAGCCACAAAGAAAACAGAATTAGCAAGCCATTTTCCACCTTGGCTATTGCCTTTTCAGGGCTGGCAGACTGTGCTGGCAGCTTTCTGGGAGCACTGGACTCTTGGGTTGCTGGGTATTAAACTTGTAAGTGGTGACTGGAGCTACCATCTTAATAAGACCTGGGACCACATGAAATCATGCATAAGAACACCACAGAAATCATGAAGAGTGTTTAAATGCAAGAGGTCACTACAGTCTTGCCAATCTTGTTCAGGGAAGAATCCAGCTGACCCAGCATGCCCATGGCACCTCCTGGTGGCTCAGCCCTGACGTGGCAACTTCTCAAAGCCTCCCCACCCCCCTTTGACTGTAGAAAACTGCCCAAGTAATACTTGGGTAACATACTTACTCCCTTCACTCTGGCTGTCTTTGTTTGAGTTGTAGACCTGAAAAATAGAAATAGAAATTTACTTTGTGTGCTTTTTACACCAACCTACAGATTCACTATTGAAAACTCTAAGGTGGAAGGCAATTTCTACCACCACCCCCATAAAAATCCCCTCCATAATAATTTACTGCCCAGCATGCACTTAGCTGATCTCAAATAAGCATGGATCAAAAACACCTGTGGAACTGTATAGTGTGTGGGGGAGAGGAGTGGCGAAGAGGGTTATCCCATCTTTTTTGAAAGGAAAATAAGTTGACTTGTATATATGAATTTAAAGAAGAGAATTGAAAGTTAGTTACAGATTCATTAAGCATTAAGTGCACACATGACAACGTTCTCAGCATTTCACAAGAATTATCTTCATCTACACAACAGCCATGCTTGGCGAGAGCAGTTGCTATCACTGTATCACTGTTATACAGCTGGAAAATGTGAGGCTTACAAAGGTAAAATGCGGTTTCATAGCTAGTTAATGGCAAACTGTGGGCAAAGACACATTATAAACTGTTGAGTGCTAACCCTGAGGGTGAGACCAGCCCCCTTTTACTCTATATGCAGATTAGAATGTTATACTGAGAATGTATCATATTTATAACATACGCCTTAAACGCTTGATAGAAATCATAAAAGAGAAAGTGGTCTGGTGGTAAAAAGGGGAGTTTCTCACTATAAAGCAGACAAGCTACAAGAGTCAGCGAGCTGCTGACTACAGGTCAAGACAAGACACGGTTTAGACTCTGAGCACAAGAGGCAAAAATCAGTATTATATTGGTACTTAAATATCGTGAGAAAACAAGATCTCACAAAATTAAAAATGCAACTTTTTTAATGCCTAATTAGCAGATCTGATATTCTTTGCCTATTCTGCAAAGGGAGGCTGGCACTTCACTTCTCTGGGATCCAATGACCGGTCTCTATCACTTTTCAATTGCAAAAAGTATTCTGTAAATATCATGTGTGGCCCATGGTCCACAAAACAACAACGAATGGACTGAACTTGGTTATTGATCACAGACTGCCTATTTCTGAAGTGCTGTTGCTATCATGAGAAATACAGTGAAATTCCTGCTTAAGAAAAGAAAATGATCTCAGTGCCAAATCCTCCTGTGTAGGTATGGAAAGGCATGGGATTAAGCCGACCATTATGAATTAAATATCTACTTATCTGTTCAACCATCCCTAGGGATTCTGATGACCACTCTCCCATGAGAAATATTTACTTAACCCCTAAAAGAATTGAGCCACGCATTTCTGAAAACTTAGCATTAAACCCCCCAAAATGAGTTTTCCACTAAAAATGTAGATGGGAATGGCTAGTCAAGAGTTGGGCAATGGGTTCAACTTGCCAAAGCTGGTCTGACCTTCTCTGCGCCTTTATGGCTCTACCTGGAAACTAAAGGCAATCCCAACTCCAAGAGATCATTCTGCCTTAATATATTTCTCACATGTATTATTATCTTTATTCTTTAAAGAAGACTGAAGCCACACAGCCACTTAACAAGGATCACAGAACAAGCATAAAAGAAACTGCAGAATACCTAAATTGCCATCAGTACACACACTTAAAAGTCCAAGAGACAAGGCATCAAAAGACTGATTTTTGTCCTGGGCTTCCCCACCCATCACTTCATTTGGATTGATTCTCATTTCTTTATCTCAAAAATGGGGTGATAACAGCTCTCTGGCAAACATTTCCACAGTTCATTGTGATCATCCAGTGAAATTATGTCAAGAGAAATAGACTGAAATACCACAAGACAAAATGAGGGTGCTTTGACCTGTGTTTCTGACAAAAAGAATGGCTCAATCTTCACAGAATTTAGGTGAGACAAAGACCACAAGTCTAGGTGAAGGCCACCACTGAGGCGGTGCCTATTCGTATCTTAAACAAAGCTGCAAGTAGCTCCCTGAACCCTGAGCAGCATGCACCACTGAGATAAACTGAGTGCCTGGACTAGATCAGCATTTGCTAATGGGTCTCCATGGCACTGCACAAAGGTGATGAAGGGACTTGGACAGCAGCAAGGACTTCAGGTAACCAAATCCAAAGTCCTTTGGCTTCAATGGGTTTTATTCATGTGACTATCAAACAAGGAGTACTGGCTCTGAAACATTTCCAGTCCTCTGCAATTCCTTTTCTTGCTTTAACACATGCTCCTGCAACAGTCAGGCAATGACTTAGGTGTTGCAGATAAGATGGGCAGCAGCTATAAAGCTCTAGTCACATGAAACTTTCTTATTAGTGAAGAAAACAGGTTTACAAATATGAATCCTTCAGTATTGACAAGTGCAATGGAGGTAGGAAAAGGAGGCATGGGGGGGGGGTCTGGTATGGGGGAATGCTCCCCTGAAGAGAAGATATTTACATGAGTTTAAATGATAAAAGGGAAGCAGATCTAGGTAATCATGTCCAGCAAGTCCTGAGACTAGAAAAAGACCTGTTTAAGGAGAAGGAAGGTCAGTGTATTGGCAATCACTGCGAGGCAGGAAAGCAGAGAAATAAGGACAAGGCTATGAAGTATACCCAGGTCTCACCAGGGCCTTGTTCAGCAAGTGAAACGGTGACCAGGTACCTTATAAAACCAGCAACCCACTGTGACTACACTCAATAACCCTGGAAAGCAGAGGAAGGGCAACACAGGAGGAGGCAGCACTTTGGCAAATTTGATTTCCCTTCCAACCCCTCCCCAATCACTGCATTTCTCCAATTCAATCCAAACAGTCTATCCAGGTGAAACTTGCTCAAACTGTAAATGGCAAAATCCAGAAGGAATAGTGAAACACAGGACTTTTCAGCTCTCCTTAATTAAGAGGCAAATCTATGCCAAATTACTTTGCTTCCAGGTTTCCTGAATCTCAGGAGACCCCTGCCTGGAACACCCAGGCACTCTGAGTTGGAGAGGTGTGATCAATGAGCCAAAGACACCAGAAGTATGCACTATCCCATCCTCTAAGGCAAAACCACTAATCACTGTCTGGGTAAATGAGTCAAAGACAATGAGTTTTGAAATAAACCTAACAGTCAGTCCTGCCTGGACTATGTGACCACACGGCCAAACAAGGCAGACCAGGGCAGGCAGCAACCTCGCCATCATAGGGACCGGATAATGGCTTGGAAACAGCACTTTGCATCCTAAGTAGTTACAAAGTGCCAATAACGACAGCATCCAATTCTTGAAACACCAAATGGATTAGCCTTACTGTCACTCTCCTTGCACATGTATGGAACCTGAGGCTCAGAGTATGTCTGAGGTCACAAAGCTACTTCTCCAGGTCTTCTACAAGGACATTTCAGTCCTCCTAACCAATCCAGGTAACAGCAAGTGTATATAAATAGCACGCCTCTCGTGGTCAGCACTGTGGTGCATATACTAGCAGAAGGATAAAAGCTCCATGGTACCCTTAAGAATGCTTAACCAGCTCTGCCTCATCCTTCTTCCACCTGTCTCATGGCTGCCCAACACCATCACACTGAAGCTCAAGGCCAGAATACCATCCTGAGGTAAAAGATCTTTTTGCTCTTGTGACTAGCAGTTGTGTTGGATGTTTGTGCTTTCACGGGGGCCTCTTAAGAATTCTGTCATCACGAAGGGAGAGCCCAGCTCAACTCAAGGGAAAAGAGGTCCCTAGATAAGGCCTGAATTATCACTCACAGGACAGAAACAGTGTATCTTTTCAACAACATAAGCAAAGTTCAAGTCTATCTGTGCAAGCTGGCCAGAGTACTCCAAGACCTGACCACAACAGTCTCAACCCTGTAGCACTAGTGACCCTGAGGCAGGCCTACACTAGCTTCTGCTGACTACTGAACATGAGGACTTGGTAGACAGCCATGCCAATGAATATTTATTTTTATACACATGCTTCTAGAGAATAGAAACTGCATGTGTTTATCTTATCAGAGTCCTCTGTGAGTCATTAGGAACAATCCAACAGACAAATAATTTATGACAGAGGCCCTCTTGTCTATTAGACATAAATATTCTATAGGCATTGTCTGATACTGTCCTCATTCCACCTTACTCATTCCCAATACAGAACATGAAAATGAGATTATAGAGAAATGAGGTAAGTCATTTGCTTGAGGTAAGGAATCTAAAACTGGGAAAAGTCCTGAATGGAACTTCCCAGTCTGTCTTCCCAGCGCAGGCACTTACACACAAACCCCACGACACAGAAGACATTGATGATGATGATGAAGAAGAAGAAGAAGAAGAAGAAGAAGAAGAAGAAGAAGAAGAAGA